TATATTTGGGGTGGCGTGTTTTACAGCGCTTTGCCAACAGCGCCAACCCATTGAAGTCTAGAACACCGGGGGGAGGGGGGGGTGTACTCTTTTCATTTTTGCGCGTCTAACGGTAGTCAACTATAAAATCGGGCTTACAAAGGCCGGCCGGCACTCTTGAACCTTTTTTGTTTTGCCGCGAATGTCCGATAAGTCGGTGTGTCGTGTACTCTGTGGACACCGGCTGGTACATAGTTGTCGCGGCAAGCCATGGACATTCTCGGGCTTGGACAACCTCGCCTGCAACCAAGCACAGATACAAATGTCCCTTAACTGGGTTTGGGCCGGCGTTTCCAAACCCTGCCTGACCTTGGAGGTTGGCAACGGTGCGCCCGACCGGGTTACGCAGGTCGTACGACGCCTAGGGGTTACAGGTCACTTTAATCCCCTCTCAACCGTGCCCACTGGCCACCTGTGCACCGGCATGCACACACAAAAACTTGAACGTTTACCACCCGAACAGGGGGGAATGACGGCGGTGCGTGCCGCGTGCATTGACCTTCCTCTGATTGTCTCCCCGTTTCTCCTCTTCCTTTGCCTAACTCGTCTCTCCTACTCTCTATATCTCCCTCTCCCTCCCTCATTAGGCGAGAGCCCGTCACGACGAAGCTTCCTGGAAAAATCGTTGCAACATCCCGTACGACCCAACAAACAGGACTGTCACGTGCGTCGAAGGGCCTCATTTCGGCCATTATGACCGCCTACAATACTCACTGCGCTCTAGTAGTCAGCCCGGACGACGTGTGGTTGACGATCCTCTCCCAGTTCTGCGCATACGTCAACAAGAACGCCGAGGGCTTGCGCGACAGGGTGGTTGAGCATGAGGGCAAGAAGAAGCTGACAGTGTATGGATACGGGTCGTTGGAAACGGCCGACTATGAAACACTGATCAAGGATCTCTTAGGACAAATCAGGCAAAACATCAAGTCTCCCGAGCTGGCGGACTGGTTCCGCCCTGGGTTCTCTACTACTACAGAGACAGACGAGGTGTGCGCGGCGGCAACAGCTATGGCGAGCCTTCAGGAGTACTTCGAGTATACCATGTGCCTGGCGTGCGGCATTCCGTCGGTGACCATGGTGGGCACAGTCGAGGACTGGAAGCTGCTGCGGGAGAAGATCGAGCGAATGCTTGAGTTCGAGGTGCAGGGCAACCCGGAGGGCAAGGTCATGGAGCTGTGGGTGGGGTACCTGAGGAAGGTGTGCGACGGGTTCGTGGAGTCGGCGGAGCACCCGGACAGCGCGGCGACGGTTGATTTCTGGGACAAGGTACACATGTGCCTCTATACAGTAGAGTGGATGCAGACACATCACACTGGCGTGAAGGAACGCTACACTGCTGTAAGTGCATGTGCTGCGATGAAACAATTGGTCTGCTGGGTCAGACTGCTCCTTCCTCAGCCCACCAGAGACTCTCAACTAGATGTAGCTTCAATACTACACTTGGCTTTTTGGCAACCCGTATTGTTGAGATTCTCACAACAGAGCTCGGTGGTTCATTTTATTGGCGCACGCGTGATGGGCGGCTACTTGCGTCTTGAGATATACATCGATGCCTCCTCCGCTGGCTTTATCTCAAAACCGCATTCCGCGTGAACTTTCTTCGGTTGTTTGTTTCAGGTTCTCTCACACAAGAATCGGGGCTCGGGTATGAACTACACGACAGGCTGGGTGTCCGCGTTTTCGTGCTTCGACAAAGACGGGAAGTTCATCGGGAAGAACATGAGCATGGGCGGGGAGTTCCCTCTCATTGAGGATAGTGCACTTTGCCACAATGTTGTCTCGTGTCCTGTGACCATCGACGACAACGGGCGAGAGTATGACGCTACCTTGTTTACAGGCCAGGTGGCCTTTAAGGCAGAGCAAGGCGCCGAGGGGGGGCATCCGACCGTCCGCCCGCGCAACGACTGGTGTCTGGCCGTGGCGGTGAAATAGAGAGGTTGGCTCGATGATGATTCGGGCGATGGTTGCCACGCCTTTGTCATGAGAGCTTTGGTGCAGTACACAGCGCGTCCCGTGATTCCTTCGGATAGGTGAGGGTTCGCTATGTGAAGAACACGCCTTTGTCATGAGAGCTTTGGTGCAGTACACAGCGCGTCCCGTGATTCCTTCGGATAGGTGAGGGTTCGCTATGTGAAGAAGAGGTACGCGTCTCGACGGCGACCAAAAATTGGTAGGCGGACGGATGGTGACCAGGTAGAATAAGTATGATGAGTGACTCCGCAGCGTAAAGTCTTGAAGTAAGTAACCAAGACCGTAGGGTGGGTGATAGCTGTAGGGTAGACGGTTGCCGTTGGAATATTTAGAGGAAATTCAAGCGCCCATGAATGGAGTTTGTTTAGCTGTTGTTGTCCCGAGCTCGTCCTGTTCAGGTCACCTCGTCACGGGTGTAGCTGTCCCTCAAGAGTTTCGGCGACGAGGTATATGCCCGGAGACGAAATACTGGGTATTTCGCGTTTGTAGGACCGAACCTCTGCTTCAGGATAAGGAGCAGTCGCTGCATTTGACGACGCTGGAAAGGAAGCAACGCTGCTGTGATAAGTGTTGCTCCATGTGGCAGGATGACGATCAATGGCTCCACGCGAAAACAGTGCATCAGGTAGTTCTGGTGATTGTTTTCTTTTTCTTCGGTCCTTTTCTCGTCTTTTCCGTATGGCCTTCCTCTGCTTTCTTTGTCAAGTACCAAGATGGAGAAAAGGAGATGTACCTCTCTCTGCCGCTTGACGTTGGCTTCCAGTTTCATTCCTACCCCACATAGCGTGAAGAGAGCATCGGATAGCTCCAGTCTATCTGCCGCTTATTCAATTGGCTTGCGTGCCGTTGAGGTTTAAAACACTGGAGGTTTACCTTTTTGAGGGTGAGTTAGCCTGTGGCCATGGGAATCGACCGCGTCAAGTGTTTAACCAATATGGACAGATGAAGGTACACACTGTACTAACTGAGAGGTCTGATCTTGCTTGTTCGCAGCACTGCTGCTGCTGCTGTTGTTTTTTCGGAGCAATTGGATACACATGCATCTTGACGTGGACCATCTCGCGGCCTATGACTTCCTCAACCCGCCCGAGTCGAGTCACAGCCGCTGCAACGTCAACCAACGCAAGATACAAACCTGCCAAGGGTGCAACAACGCAAAGAACCTAGGTGTGGCAATCCTTGGTGGCAAAATTATACCCCAGCTGCTCGACGGATCTCACATCCCTCGAAGACTCGTTCCCTATGCATACCTCCCTCTGCTCGACCACTCCCAGCAACCAGGGCAGACGGCTACACACCAACGGCAATTTTGCGTCACTCAGAACGACTAGATTCTGCGACGACACGAAGCTAGTTTTAAAACCTCATCCGCCGGAAACCAGGCACGCCGATTGAAATCGCGGCTACAACAACTTCCGCGTTCTCCCCTCCTCACGAACGGTGCTTTTTCTTATTGCTTCCCCCCCCGCTTCGACTAGCGCTGCCGCTTCCCGCCGATGCCCCCCCCCCCCCCCCC